AATTTTTGTTTTTATTTTTTAATTGAAAATAGAAATTGTATGTATTTATGGTGTACAACATGATATTTGTATATACGTATACATTGTAGAATGGCTAAATCAAGCTACTTAACATGTGTATTGCCTCACATACTTATTTTTTTGTGGTATGAACACATAAAATCTACTCTGTCAGTAATATTCAAGTCTGCAATACATTGTTATTAACCATAGTCACCATGTTGTACAATAGATCTCTTGAAGTTATTACTCCTATCTAACTGGAATTCTTTTCATCTTAACCAAGGCCACATGAAATAATTGAGAAACTGAGTGTGATATTTATTTCTACAATATTTCTCCTTCAAGAGTTTAAAGTTTTCAACTGTTAATTCTGGCAAGGATGATAGCCAATGACATATAAAATTGGTTGTTTTCTAGTTAGTCATTTTTATTTACAATAATGAACAATTGCTTAGTGATTTTGATCAAATCCTGTCCCTTACAAATTAGCTGAGTACCTTTGGACAAGCCATTTAACTTCCCTATGCCTCCCTTTCCTCATTGAGTAAGATGGGGATAATAATTGTAACTGTATCTCATAAGAATGTTGTGAAGATTTAAAGGGGAATACATACAAGTGCTTAGAAAAGTGCCTAAAACGAATGATACGCTAGAACGCTGGCTTGGGAGGAGAGGGGTGGAGTGCTTATTTGTAGCTTTCGCCAACTTCTATGAAGTAAATGTTCCCACTACAGCAAATTTCAAGCTACTAACAATTTAACCATCAGCATGAGCCAGTAAAGCTCTGGCACACCAATGTGGCAGTGTAAGTTTCTAACAAATGTTCATTTTTATCATTACTAAATCTAAGGTCCTTTTTCATTTTATCGATGTATATTTTCATGAATTGTACAAATGTTCAAGGAGGGACGAGTTTAGAGAGATAAATGGAGGGAAAAACTTAGGAATTGTAGCAGTTAGCAAAGCTTTGAGGAAGATTTCAGAAGTTATCTGAACCTGTTTGGACACTTGGGCATGAGTATTTGGAAGGGAGAAGAACACATACAGTAAGTCTTAATGTCATTAATAGGTTCTTAGAAACTGCAGGTTTAAGCAAAATGGCATGTAACAAAACCAATTTTACCACAGACTACATGATAGAAACAAGACTTAAGTTCCTATGGCATATTTCTGGTCTCAAAAACATCACCAAACTTTTAATAAAGACCAAAATGTTTCTAATATTAAACATTGAAATAAATGTGAGCTATGCATACATTTAAGAAAGAGTAACAAAAACAAGTGAGATAATTATTTACCCAGTGATTTTAGTTCAAGGGCATGGGTGGCCAGAGCCTATCCTGGCAGCTCAGGATGCAAGGCAGAAACTGCCACCAGACAGGATGTCATCCCATAGCAGGGGGCATTCAGACACACACACACACACACACAGAGTTACTCAGACTGGGACCATTTGGACATGCCAGTTTACATAACATGCAGTACATGTTTGGGATGTGGGGGGAACCGGAGTATCCAGAGAAAACCCTTGCAGACTTAGGGAGAATGTGCTAACTCCACACAGTGGCCCTGGACGGGAATCTATTGTTTTTCTCATCAACATTATAACAAGATGTTGTGGAATGAAAGGATGTTGTTGGAGGACCCGCTATATAAGTCATTTCAGTAGTAGCCTGGGGAGAAATTTGTGGGGACCCAGTGGGGAGACAGAATCAGAAAATGTGTGTACTAAAAACAGGCAGATCCTGAAATGAACTTGTGATGCCTAAATGAGCTTGTGATGCCTAGATGAACTTGTGATGCCAAAAACTGATTTCCTGCTCGTGCAATCGTATCTCTTTTTGAAGAAGAGAAACTGTTTTGGTTAGAAATTTTTTTTTGTAAGAGTGTGAGAAGAAAAAGTGCTCACTGAAGCTAGTGCAAGTCAGGGGTAGAGGGAGGACAGTTCCTGTAAGGATGTGTCTAAATGGATTTCCAGGAAACTAAACTGCCACATGTCAAGAAGAGCAGCTGCCTGAAGGTACTTGTAGATCGAAAGCTGCCCTAGGTGCCCTATCAGCACTGATTCATGAGTTTTGCATCTAGTTTCTCCTATTCTTACCACAACTTGGCTGCTCTGTCTTCTCTGCAATAAACAATTTCTTCACTCTCTATTCCATATGTTTTAAACTTGTCTTATTATTTTTGTTCCCTCATACATTGCTTCATAGATTACCCAATCCAAAAAGAAAGAAAACAGAGAAAGAAAGAAAAATGAGAGAGAGAGGAAAGAAACAGAAAGAAAGAAAAAGAAAGAAAGAGAGAGAGAGAGAGAGAGACAGAGAAAGAGAAAGAAAGAAAGAAAGAAAGAAAGAAAGAAAGAAAGAAAGAAAGAAAGAGAAAGAGAGAAAGAAAGAAAACGAAAGTATATTCCTGAACCACATGAAAACACAAAGAATCACATTCTCTACAAGTGTCCTGTGTATCTGCAAATTAACCAGTACTTCAGGTAGTCCTTAGGTATTCTAGAGTTTAGAAGAATCCTAAAAGGTTTTGCTCTGGCAAGGGCTGTGAGTAAAGCATGGCCTTTGAGGCGACGGAGGGAGATAAAGGTAGATATATAGAAACTTTATTTTAGAGAAAGGAAAAACTTCTTCAGACCATATACAAAATCAAGTAATCAACCATTCAAAGTCAGGCTTAATTTAAGAGCTTTTTTTAAAAAAACAAACAAACAATAACAACAACAAAAATGTATACTAGTGATCTTTAAAGGAAACCATGCTATCATTTGGATTATTATTCTGGATTCCAGTCAGTAGTTAGGTCATATAAGAATTACAAATTCTGTTATTGGTAATGGTTAGTTCAAAATGCATAGTCTTACCACTCAGGGAAAACAGTACTTAGATTTCAGAAGATAAAACTTTGTAATTGGGATGAAAGGAGGGTATGGAGGGTGTTCTTAAATATTTAAATGGATGTTCATGAGACAAAAGGACTAGACCTAGAAGTTATTACATTTAATTCTCACAGCAAATTGATAAGGAAAGTATTTCCATCTGATAGATGACAAAACCAAATTCACAGAAGTTCAATTCATTCATTTTATAAGTATTTATTAATAATTTTTAATATGCTTGGCATTGTAATTAGCACTGGTTATTATACTATGATGAACAAAACAGAACCTTGCCATTTTAATGGAGATGACTGGTTAGGGGGACAGGCAGAGAAATGACAAGTGAATCAACAAATAAGGATACTATTCAAACATGAGATTTTGCACAAGGAAATAATATAGAATAATATAAAATATAGCATGCAATGAAAGAGGATAACTTGAAAAGGATAACAGTTACTTGGAATTTGTTAGGGAAGGCTTCGCTGAGGTGGTGACTTTTAATCAGAGACCTGCAAGGAGAGAATAAGCCAGCCATGGAGGAGACAAGCGAAGAGTGGCTTTTAGCAAATTAATTGCAAATGTGAAAGCTCTAACACAGAAAAGTCGTTAATATTGTACAGGGCGCGGTGGCGCACATCTGTAATCCCAGCACTTTGGGAGGCCGAGGTGGGCAGATCACCTGAGGTCAGGAGTTTGGTACCAGCCTGGCCAACATAGTGAAACCCCATCTCTACTGAAAGTATGAAAATTAGCCAGGCATAGTGGCATGTGCCTGTACTCCCAGCTACTCAGGAGGCTGAAGCGGGAGAATCCAGGAGGTGGAGGTTGCAGTGAGGAGACATTGCGCCACTGCACTCTAGCTTGGTTGACACAGCGAGACTTTATCTCAAAAAAAATATATAGCTTTTATCTATATCTATATCTATCTATAGATATATTTCAGAGCAGTGTTACTCCAAATATGGTCTGAGGATGGTTGCCCATCCAAGAAGTGTTCTTTACTAGTCTGAAGCAAAATAAGTATGTAATTGAAAATAAATGCTTACACTTTATGATAAGAATTTGACAGTAATTTTACATCTGTTAAATCTAATAATTTAAAAATGAATTATATTATGCCTAATTATTTTATGTCATTTTTCTAGTACTTCATTTTTACTATTTAAATTGAAAAGTATTGAGCCATGTTGGGGAAAGATGGTCTTTCCATGGTCCATTGATATCTGATGTTAGAAATATTTGGCAGGATCTAAAATGTGCAGAACTTTGCAGGTGCTGGTAAATAATTACCTAAGATGACACAGAAAGTGAGAGGTGGTGCCAAGATAAAATTCCAAGTCTTTCACGTCATCATCTACCTGCCTTGAGAGGCTCCCAGGCTCCCAGTATGTGCCAGAAAGCCATGAGCCCTCAGAAAGGCCTCTACTTCATGACCATTTCTACCCTGACATCCAGTGAGTTATTACCCATCAGAAACAAAGCTTACAAATGGAATACATTTTGATCATTTGGAATTTTTGAACATGTTCCTTTACTTGTAATCTTTGGTGATTGGCTAAACCATTATTTCCTAGGATCACATATGTCCTTTTATTTTTGTTTTGGTTCTGTTTTAGTCTTTGTTTTTTAGAGATAACATCTTGCTATATTGCCTGGGGCTAGAGTGCAGTGGTGAGATCATAACTCACCACAGCCCCAATCTCCTGGGCTCAAGTTATCCTCATGCCTCAGCCTCCTGAGTAGCTAGGACTACAGGTGCATACCACCATGTCCAGATATTTATTTTTATTTTTATTTTTTGTAGATACAAGGTCTTACTATGTTGCCCAGACTGGTCTTGAACTGGGCTAAAATGATCCTCCCACATCGGCCTCCCAAAACACTGGACTTACGGCCATGAGCCACCGCATCCAGTCTACTTTTGTTCTTGTAAATAGTCGTAGTCCCCTCACCTCATACTGGGTCAGAAATGTCTACTTCTTTATCTTTGCCAATGAATATACACTAGAATAATTCTGTGTTTCTTAATCTTTCTATTATTTATCTTCTTAAAATATATTATGGTAGAATTTATAAGTGTCCAAAGTTAATACCTTGTTTCTCTTTTATCCAGAGCCCTAAATGAGTCACACAGCACCCTGAAAGTGATTCCCTGGTCTACTTGAATTTGACACGAGAGAAAAGCAGGAGGAAAAGGGGCCATTCTCCAAAGGACCTGAAAGAGCAAAAGAGGTGGGAGCGAAAGCTTAAGGATCCCACGACTTTTTACTGCCATCTGAGCTACTCAGTGTTTGAATCCCAAGAGGAAGTCATTTTACCTCTCAGGTCTGTTGTAGGACTTGATTTTGTAAAGCAATGCCATGTTATGTGGTTGAAAGAGCACTGGACTTAGTATCAGGAGCACTGAGCTCACAGACTGACTTGGACTCCTACTGGTGGGGACCTCTGTTAGTCACTTTACCTCATCCAAAGTATAAAGGAATTGGACCAAATAATTTACCACATAGCTCTAAAACTTAATTTAAAATGTAATTCTAGAAAAAAAAAGGGAATAAGCAAAGAGGAAAGAAGTGAAAGAGAGAGAGAAGAAAGAATACAGAGAGATGACCTTTTGCCTTTCTGTTGATGTTATATCCCTTCTTCCTATATTCTTAGGTCTATGAGTCTGTTTCCCCATCATTTGGTATCTAGTCCACTTCCTGCTTACTGCTTTGCTAATAGCTGGCCTTGCTAGAATCATTGGTTTCACTGCTGTTCTTCATGTGCTTCTGTGAGATTTACTCCAACAAAAATAGGACTGAATTTATTGTGAAGTAACATTGGCAATCTTAACTTATTCATTTAGCTTACCTATTTTTATAGCTGGATAAATATTGTTAGTCTTAGAATAGCTCACATTTTTTGAGAAGCATGCTTTCCCTGTCCATTTGTCTTATAACATGACCCAGCCCTATTTTAAGTCATTCTAAATTCAGCCTCATATAATGAAAATACATTATGAAAACAGATGTTTAGGAGATTTCCTGTATAGCAGTCAGCCAATTCATATGCTTTGTCTCTGCTGACTTCTGTTGCCATGCATTAACTTTTCATAATAGCAGAGGAGGCAAATATGAGCATACAATCCCTTTGTTCTAAAGATATTGTTCCAGCTAGTGGAATGATGTTGAATCTTTAATAACCGTAAGACCAAATTAGTTGCTTTTTCAGTATCTTTTGCTTTGTCTGTGTCTATCCAGTGGCCTAGGAATTAAAGTGTAAGTTGTTTTCACTGTTATATTGGATATTTATATATAGAGACAGCGCGCAAGATTTTCATGTGTTATTTAATTCTGTATTGTTTCTTATATTTGTAGTAAAATATTGAACAATTAAAAGTGTTGGCTCCAAATATTTGGCTTATGATATTCTCTTGGGAAATGTGGAAATGAATGATAATCCTTGTCTTTTCCCATGATATGTAAAACCCTCCTCTCCTCTCTATCTTCTGCCTCCTAAAAGATGAGTTGATGCTTCTGACTAATCACAAAAACACAAATCAGATGTCTGGCCAGTGTGAGCTCCTTTGAGTTGGTACCTGTGTCCTTTTGACATGACCCTATCAGCTCTGCAGCACTTCCTTATATATGTTCTTTTGATTTTGCTTTTAAATACCAACCTTTGCAGACTGATTAGCTCATATAGTTTTGAATTTAGTGGGAATCATCCCCTTGTATTTTTCTGTATTTCTAGTATCTCTGCTAAATTGGCACTAGATCAGGCAGAATGACTTAACACAATAGTTCTCAAACATTTTGGTCTTAGGACCCCTTTACACATTTAAAAACATCATTGGGGATCCCAGAGAGCTTTTTCTGTAATGTGAATTATATCTGTTGACATTTATCATATTTGAAATTAAAACCGATAAAATTTAAATACAAAGTATATAACCATATATCCTACTAGCTATCAGAGTGATGCCAACGTCATACATCATACAGCTTCTGGAAGACTTCGGGGGCACATTTATTAGAGAATGAGAGCGAAAAAGTCAAATAATTTATTGGTGTTATCATGACAATAATTTTTTGATTATGTGGACCCCCTGAGATGGTCTCAGGGACAATGCTAAAGACTGCTGATTTAAAGTATAGGCAAAGAAGGAAAACACCTTATGGCAAGATGTCATGAGTCTTTTTCAAAGGAAGTCCTTGCTAAACATCTGTCTTCATGGTACCTAAGCATTTCACCTTTTAACCAGGACTTTAGGCCATTGCATTACTGAGAGCTCCTCCTCAAAATGCAGAGACAGCTCAAAGACTAATTTTTATCTATTGTTAATAATTCAATTTAAATTGACTTATTAAATGGCTTTTCAGTTACTTTTCAGGATGTTGAGATACTTGGACTTAGGATAGGTATGTTTGATGGGGAAGACTTGGGAGGTTATAGAGAGATAAAGAGGAGAAGGAAAGGGTAATTGAGAGCATGCTGAGAAGGTGGCTCCATGTAGAACACCACAGCCTTGCTTTCTCCTCCATGTCTCCTGCCCTCTCACAGTGGCGGGCTGCTCACCAGCCCTCCCATACTTACCCTAAACTTTCAACTACGGGTGCTTTTTTGTATTTGGGAATTAGAAAGAGGTAGCTTGGGCTTTGCGTAGTTAAGCAGTCTGGGAAAGTTATAAACTTTTGAGTCCCTTAGAATAATTCAATCTTGTATTTCTCTTATCTGTAGAAATTTAGAAAAATTCCAGGGTAGTGCAAACCTGCTTAGAGAGAGGAGAAAACAGAAGTCTATTGCGCTTAACTGAAACTGAAACTGCAAATGAAGGGTTTTTTTGTCGTTTTATATTTTCTTTTTGGTGGTTTGTATTCCTCTATCCATGACTTGTTAACAATCCATAAATCTAGGTTCAAAGAGTACAAAATCCATATTTCTACTAGGAATCATAAGGCTTCGATGAAATAAATTTTTTTGAACTTTCTTCTATGGCTATTCTGAGCTTAGAGTATTTTATTTAATTTTTGTTGTAGAGACACAGGGTCTCACTGTGTCACCCAGGCTGGAGTGCAGTGGTGCCATCGTTGCTCACTGCAGCCTTCAAATCCTGGATTCAGGTGATCCTCCTGCCTCAGCCCTCTGAGTAGCTAGGACTACAGGCTCGCACCACCATGCCTAGCTAATTTTTTATTTTTTATTGAGATAAGGTCTTACTATGATGTCCAGGCTGGTCTCAAACTCCTGGCCTCAAACAATCCTCCTGTCTTGGTCTTAGCTGGGATTAAAGGGGTGAGTGACTTTGCTCAGCCTTTGCGTTTTAAAATAAAGCTTCTTGGCCGGGCGTGGTGGCTCACACCTGTAATCCCAGCACTTTGAGAGGCCAAGGTGGGCGGATCAGGAGATCAGGAGATAGAGACCATCCTGGCCGACATGGGGAAACCCCGTCTCTACTAAAAATGCAAAAAATTAGCCGGGCGCAGTGGCAGATGCCTGTAGTCCCAGCTACTCGGGAGGTTGAGGCAGGAGAATGGTGTGAATCCGGGAGGTGGAGCTTGCAATTAGCCGAGATCTCACCACTGCACTCCAGCCTGGGTGACAGAGTGAGCCTCCGTCTCAAAAAAATAAAATAAAAATAAAAATAAAATAAACTTCTTAAATTATTTCTTCGCAGCAGTAATATTTTTATTTTTGTTCATTCTCAACATATTCCAGATTTGATTTCATCCTCCCCTCCGCAGTTGCTCAGGCTGATTCACTTGCACAAACTAACATAGAGCAGTGATTCAATCCAAGCAAGTCAACATTCACACAGACGTCATAATCATTTGTCTTGTGAGGTCCTGAAGGTAATTAACCCCATTTTTGTGGGTGTGAAAAATGAGCCTTCATACTTTTCAGTGACTTTCTTCTGGTAGCACTGTAAATATGTTTTTGGCTGAAACTCCAACTCAGAAATCCTGGCTTCCTGTCTAGTGAACTCTCTTTTCTCCCCATCCTGCAGTGATTTATGTCAGTCTTACTTGCCAGCATATCCTGTTTGTTCTGTCATTATATTCAGAATCCAGCTCCTACCTCCAGTCTTCCACCTGGCCCAAACCATTATTATTTTCTTCCTAGATCATTGTTATTGCTTTCTAATTAATCTTCATGCTTCTGTCTTCTTCCCCTTTCAATCTATTTGAAACATAACTGTTCTAAAATATGTCAAGTCAAATCACATAATTCTCCTGCCTAAAATTTCCAAGTGCTTATTTCCAATTCCCATCTCACCTAGAATAGAAGCCAAAGTCTTTACATGGGCTATAAGGCTCTAGACAATGGGGCTCGCTGATACTCTCTGAAATCACCTTCTACTATTCTCTCTCCTGATCACTAGTCTCCCTGCTATTTCACTAACATTTCAGACATGTTTCTATCTCAGAGCCTTGGCATTTCCTCATCTCTCTGCCTGGAATGGTTTTCCTGCTGGTACCTTCATGACTCATATGCCTTTTCCCCTGAAAAATACTCCATAGATACCCTAAAGATACTTTAATACTTTTAACAGGTCTCATATTAGTCTAGATAGTGGGACACTCATCTCAGAAAGTTGGAACTCATAAAGAGAGAGAGTTGGGTGTTTCTGGAAGTAGCTTTTATGTTCCGGTGCAATTAGAGAGGCACTAAAGCCCAGCCGCTCAGGTGAAGCATTTCAATTACCACATGATTCTGGATCTGGTTGTGTTTAGCTCAGTATCTAGTAAATTCCTTAACTTGTATACATGTTAGTTTATTTTCTAATAAATCAGACAATATTGTAAATACAGTCAGCCCTCCCTATCTGTGGGTTCCATATTTGTGGAGTCAACCAATCACGGATAAAAAAATCTGGAAAAAAAAAACAATACAAGAATAAAAATAAAAACAAGTTAAAAACAATACAGTATGACAACTATATGTATATTATTTACATTGTAATAGGTTTATAAGTAATCTAGAGATGATTTTGGGTATGTGGGAAATATGTGCATAGGTGATACGAATATACTAGACCATTTTATATCAGGAACTTGAGCATCTGCAGATTAGGTATCCATGGAGGTTCTGGAACCAATCTCCTGAGGATTCCGCAGGACAACTGCATCACCTTTTAAAAAAAGTCAGGTGATGGCTTTAATTAAATGATCTTAAGTTATATATTGATTAATAGGACAGATGACTCTTAGGCAAAAAAAATCAGGAAGCACTAAAATTTCAGCAATGAATTGGAAAAACAGTGAGCAGTGCGATGGAAACACATCGATTTTACTGTGTACTTTGAAGAGTGGGTAGAATTGCCCTGTGTTTGTGCAACATAGCCTAATGATATCTTGTAGTTTATTTCCCCTTTTCACTTGTCTCAGTGGGCCAGCGCTGTAACTACCTAAACATTGCTGCAGTTACTCTAGGAAAGGAGATGTTTTATCTACTTCATCTTGGAGCTAACTTTAATTTCCAGAGAACTTGGAAAGAGAGAATGTATTCCTTGAGAGAACTCCAGGCCTAACAAATTGATATTGTATTTATTTGACCATGTCCTATCTTCGAAGTGTCATCAGAAGCCACCATTTGTATAAACAAAGGTTAAGTAACAGTTTGAGACCTAGTGTCACAAGATTTGACTAGCACAAATGCCCCTAGGTAAACCGAAACTCTTGATGGAAACCAAATAACATCCTATGAATACCTGAGGAAGAAACTGAGTAAGAATCATGGAAGCAGGCTGGGCGCGGTGGCTCACGCCTGTAATCCCAGCACTTTGGGAGGCTGAGGCGGGTGGCTCTCCTGAGGTCAGGAGTTCGAGACCAGCCTGACCAACATGGAGAAACCCCGTCTCTACTAAAAATACAAATTAAATTAGCCGGGCATGGTGGCACATGCCTGTAATCCCAGCTACTCGGGAGGCTGAGGCAGGAGAAGCGCTTGAACCCGGGAGGTGGAGCTGAGATCATGCAGTGAGCAGTGAGCTGAGATCATGCCACCACACTCCAGCCTGGGTGACAGAGCGAGACTCCATCTCAAAAAAACAAAAGAAAAAGAATCATAGAAGCACTAGAAGAGATTTCAGAAATGAAGAAACTGAGGCCTACCAAACTCAAATAACTTACTCAGATCACAGAAGCCTCACGTCTTCACCAGACAGATGAGAGAACCAGAAAGCTGTACCACTCATTGTTTTTACAAAGACAGATCTGGTTTGGTGCCCTGGCTCAGCTGAGAAAACTATTTCCTAAGTTTATATATCTATATTCAAGACCTGAATGCTTACTGGAACCCAAAACTTTCCTGAATCACTTTACCTTATGTGAGGTTCAATGTTCCCATCACTGGTGTTTGATGTCCCTCCAACTACTTTGGCAGTGAGAAGGTACTCATCCTGTTTGAGAG